TAGGCATTTTTCTTAGAGTGACATTCAAGCGCAGTGTCAAACTGACAGCAGTCTTTCCTACACTCAAATGCCCTGCTCCTGCTCTCAGATTTTACATGGAGTGTTTTAAGAAGTTCCTTAGAAATCAAAATGCTTGGCCTGCGGTTCATTAAATGTGCCATTCCAAAACACGCGACTGCCAGAAAGGGTTAGTCACCATGAAGGCAGTCATCCTATAACTCTGGAAGGCAAACATGGGAACGGTTTAGTCACATATGTGGCACATACTTCAAAACTCCAAACTTTTAAAGTACTTGCTGGAGCCAACATTCCAATTTAGTACTCATCCAGTTCAACGGAAGCTAACAAGAAGCATAAAACACTACATAATACATAAGAATTTTGGCAGAATACTATACATATCGGTCTTATATTTTTTAAAAAAGTCATAATGACATTAAATCATTCTAAACCTCTAACGTCCATTCATAAGAATATTCTTGCTTTTTTTTTTATCAGAAGTCACATGTATTTCTGATTCATGAATAATATTAACAATATAAAACTGACAGAATATGTCTGAAGCTGACCAAGAAACTTAAATATTTTCATAACTTTACAAACAAAGGAAAATAGGCAAAAATCTCTCCACAGTGCAATGCGGTTGGCTTTGGATAAATGTCCTGGATATAAGCAGTAGGTGGCAAGGTTAAAATAGAAATGTTAATCCTATGAGAATACTCGTCTGCTATTTTACAGCCCTTCCTAAAGACACATATAAATATATAAATACATACATATATATACAACATAAAAATATCCAGAACTCTAAAACTGAGAACTAAAATATACAAACAAAATACCCCAAATAGAAATACAATGACCAAAAGAAGGCACTGATTTTAAGCTGTATATATTTTTTTTCTAAATATGATCTTTTTTTAAGAGAGAGAATAACAAGAATGTATGGGAAAATTAGAAAACTTAGATTTTTGTTTAAGGGCATATTAGCTTTTATTCAAGATAAGATTATGTTGGTCATAAATGTGCATTTATATATTATAGTTTCTTGATAAAAAAACACCTTAAGAAGTATCAATTTAAAAAAAGAAGTATCAATTTCTATAAAATTATACATGAAGTTACATAGTAAATATCACGGTCACAGTCACAGTCCTCCCGTTGTTCATCGATTTGCTCGAGTGGGCCCAGTAACGTCTCCATTGGAGACTTTGTTGTTACTGTGTCTGGCATATCGAATACGTCACAGGGAGCTTGCCAGGCTCTGCCGTGCAGGCGAGATACTCTCGGTACATGCCGGACTCTCTGAGAGGGGTGGAGGAATCGAACTCGGGTCGGCCATGTTGGCTGCGTGCAAGGCAAACGCCCTACCTGCTGTGCTATCGCTCCAGCCCATAATAAATATATAGTCAGAAAAATGTTTCTGGTAATAGCAAATAATAAATATCTTAGACTTCACTGGCTAAAAGGCTTAAGGTAATTTCTCAACTCTGCTATGAGGCATGCAAGCATTCAAAAACAAAAAACAAATTATGGATGTGGTTATAATCTAATATACCTAATTAATGAAGGCTGAACTCCAAAAATATCACAACTTTTACTCACAAGTTATTTTTCTTATTATTTAAAAATATTAAATATATATTTTTAGTTTATGGGAAGAAGTGTATCAATGGGTTCGATTTGGTCTGGGTTGTAGTTGGCTGAACTTTAGACCATACACTGATAATACTAAGGGTTATAAATAAAAGAGAAAAGGTAAAAACCCATGTACTTGTCTATCTGTGTACATATTTGTGGGTCCATGTGTCTATTTATTCATCTAATCCTGGCATCTGTCATCACATAAGAGAGGCAGGGCTACAATGTATATAGCCAGATTGCCAGCCTCTAAAAGTCAACAAGAGTGGTTTACTCTAATGATCTAACAGTTACCACTGAACTCACACCACTACCATGAGAAATCCCTGGCATTTGAGAATTTGGTAACACCTAAGACTTATTTTATAAATCCTAAGACATTTAGAAACAAGAAACTAACAAATACAGGACTAGAGATCTCTGATGCTCCAGAGCTTCATTCCAGAAAAGACTATGTCATTTACTTTTAGTAGCAAATAAACACAGGGGACTACCCTTTTGAATGAATTTCAGCAGCTATCCAGTAATTAGCTATGGAGAAATTATTTTATATTTTAATATGCAGGTGAGAACAATTCACTAGTATTAAGTTATAGTATTGTCCAATTGATTATAAGTCCAAATGAAGGACTATGGCTAAGTGACTTCCCACTGGCACAGAAAATGCTGTTGGCATATGAATTGCGATGGCTTGCAAATTCCTATTCTACTGATCAAAATACTCACGGATTTGTAAGCAGACATTAGCCCAATTCCCACTACATGCAGAAATATATTACTAATTGCTGTTTCTCAAAATGACACATGTTTAAGTAGCACGGTAGCACTGTCCTGTTGTTCATCGATTTGCTCAAGTGGGCACCAGTAACATCTCCATTGTGAGACTTGTTGTTACTGTTTTTGGCATATTAAATACCCAGGGGGAGCTTTCCAGTTTCTGCCTTGTGGGCGGGATACTCTTGGTAGCTTGTCAGGCTCTCCGAGAGGGACAGAGGACTCGAACCTGGGTCAGCTGCATGCAAGGCAAATGCCCTACCTGCTGTGCTAATGTTACTTTGCATTTCAGACTATACAGCAGCAAGTACTGAAAGGAATAAATGGAGTTATTTAAATGATTAAAAACCACTACTGCTACATTTTCTTATCAGAAGAATAACACCTTAGCAAAATCAGCTGTAGAGGTGACAATGGGTAAAGTTTCTGATCTAGCATCATGTCATTAACCCTGTTATAGTTTCTAAGTCAAGGATTCAATGGAGAGGAAATCAAAGAAAACTGTCAATAAAGAAATTGGCATTGGAAACTCCTTCAGATAAAGAGAATAAAATCAAAGACTAAAAATGGTCAAAGAAGGAAGAACTATTCTTCATGCACAGAGCAAAGAATGAACCTGTGGGAAAAAAATGCAACCAAATATGCAAGGACGCAAAAAGAGAACAATGGAACAATGCCAAAAGATTTTCAATCTCAAACCAATATGAACTATGATCATAGAAGAACAGAATACTTATACCTTTGGAGTAAGTATAAAAATAAAGAAGTTGGGGTGGGCTGGAGCAATAGCACAGCAGGTAAGGAGTTTGCCTTGCATGCAGCCATCCCGGGTTTGATTCCCAGCATCCCCTATGGTCCCTTGAGCATCGCCAGGGGTAATTCCTGAGTGCAGAGCCAGGATTAACCCCTGTGCATTGCCAGATGTGACCCAAAAAGCAAAAAATATATAAATAAATAAATAATATAATAAAAATAAAAAAGTTAACAAAAAGCAACTAATGAGGAAAACAGCACTTTGCAAACAAAAGGGAAAGTAACATTTAGGAAATTTTATTAATTAGGAAAGAAATATCCACATCTTCAAGTAATTTAAGTCTAAGTTACAAGTTGTTCTATATGACTAAAATAAAAATTGCACCTCTGCACATTTTAAACTTAAGTTTAAATACATTTTACTATATTATTAGACTAGTAGAAAACTAACTGTATAGGGTAGCTGTGATACTAGGATAATATAAGAAACAATGGATGGCAAGGTATTCAGTGATACTGGAAAAAACTGCTCCCTAACAAGCAAACTAGAGTATTTTGCAGTTGAATTTAACTAGTCAGATTTGCCTCAAAACTTCATTTTAACACAAGTGTTCAGTCTCATTTTATGAGTAGTAGGCTGATGCCCAAAAGTCTCCATTTCTTTCAAATCTTGGTTCTTGGGCCTGTTGATTTTGCTAGTCTGATAATCACATTTTGAGGACCACTATTCTAGAACATATGAGAATAGTTATTCTGTATTTTATAGTTCTATAACAAGAATATCTACACTTGATTTGTCTATTAAATTGACAAACTAGAAATTGTGGGTATATTTTAGTACTCTTACTATAGTACTGTCCTCCTGTTGTTCATTGATTTGCTCGAGTGGGCCCAGTAACGTCTCCATTGTGAGACTTGTTGTTACTGTGTTTGGTATATCAAATACGTCATGGGGAGCTTGCTAGGCTCTGCCGTGTGGGTGAGATACTCTTGGTAGCTTGCCGGGCTCTCTGAGAGGGGCAGAGGAATTGAACCCGGGCCAGCCAGGCTGGCCGCATGCAAGGTAAATGCCCTACTGCTGTGCTATCACTCCAGCCCACTCTAACTATAATAAAATTATTTGCATTTAGTTATTAAATTTACTTTAAAATGTATATTCTAAATTATGAAATATACATATCTATTAGATTCATTACTTCCAGTAGAATCATTATTATGTATTACTATACGATGTGTCAGGAACCACATATGTGGAATAAAATGTACCTATCTACATATTCATTTGTATCTATCTATACATAGTAGATTTATTTTTAACAGGAGAAACCGTCTTTTTATCCTATTTGCTTGGTTCTAAGATCACTTGAGTATATGGAATCCTAAGAAATAAACCTCAGATTCAATAGCCAAATCTTGGCTCTGTGTACAGTTAGTCTTGTGATGTGGAAAGCATTTCTGCACTTAAAGCAAGTTGTGTAAATTCTGTTTCCTTGTCTGAAAAACAGGCCATGAAAACATGTCACAGCAGAACAAAACAACTTAAAAAAATAAGCAAAAGCAAACAAAACAACAACCATAAAAAGGAGCTTAACTCAATTTTATAGAACTATAAACTCCCTTGCTGAGTAATTCAGAAGGAAGAAAACTATGGAGTTTTATTAACTCCATTATCAAGGGGTTTTACCTAGGACACTTTCAGGGAATATTTTGATAGAGCTTAGCCTGTACAACACAGCTGGGCATTGCCAATCATCTGTTACTGCCAGAGCAATCAACTCAACTCCATGCCCACTACACTTTACTACACATAAAATTTGAGCTCAAGCACTTACCAGTTCCTAGAAATAGGACATGGTATCTGCCATCAGCAGCGTTCACTCTGTCCACAGCTATCTTTGTGTATTTGTAGTCGGTGCCTATACGAATGATCAAGGGCCTTCTGTGGATTGGGTAAATTGAATTGTACATGAGAGGATGGTTTCGAATAAAAGTGACAACATCATCTGGGAACTCCTTGGTGGTTCGCATATTGGGTGTAAATGCTCCTCCAGGGCACTAAAATAAAAATAAAATAGAATAAAAAAATTTCCAAAGAACTGTATTAATCAAAGGTCTCGGATGTAAAAGTCTTTAGTAGTTCAAGTTTAAAGTATATTTACTTAATATACTTAAATGATGGTAAATAAGCCTAACTATAGTGTTATCTGGAAAAGAAACAGACATGTGTATAACCTGATTAGTTGAGTAAGGTTAGAAAGTCTATTTTTCCTCTTTGTTTTCAGGGCAGCCAGTGGTATTTTACATATAACTTTTTTACCCCTATCCACCAATTTTCTACCTCTTTTCTGTGCATTAATTCTGTGTCAGGATGTATTACTAGACTAAAACAAAACAAAATCTTTTTAAGATATAACCCAATGCTGCTACAAGCAAACAATTTAGATTACAATATTCAATTCAACCAGAAAGCTGATATAAAAGAATTTTATTCCATCTCTTCTCTGCTCCTAAATGAAGAATCTATGAAGTTGGACATGACGCTGTAAATAAGACCCTATAATTCCATTTTGAAAAATACCTCAATGATTTCTCTTACATTCATTAAAAAAAACTGCAACAGCTTAGCATGGCCCATGAGCCTCAAAGGTCTGATCTGTGTCTACCATTCCCATAGTAGACCCTGCTCTTTTTGAATCTATTCATGCTCTTCCATTAGAACCTTGAAATTCGCTATTCCCCAACTGTAATTTTTTTCTTTTACCTCCATCAATTTTCCATTCAAAAGTTACACTCTTAATGATGATGACACATTAAAAATAGCACCCACATAATCTTCAATTACTTAGCTGTATTTTTCTTCCTTTCTATATAATCTAACTATATATTTGAATCTTACATTGCCTGTATGGCCCCTTGAATATAGGCAAATGTTTTCCATAACTTGGCATATTCTATTCATGGCTGTACTCTCAGAACCAAGGAATAGTAGAAGCATGAGAGTATCTATTTGGAGCTTAATGTGTCTATTATATCTTCTATTCAACTTTGGTGCATTTGGCCTTGATTCTGGCTAAGAGAGGAACTAGTCAGAATCCTTAAGTTCAAAGGGGCAGAGAGAAAGCAATAACATCATTTGAAAAAGAGCTGCTGAACAGCTTTAGCAGTTCTGGAAAGAGAATGTGACAAGGGCCTTTGAGGGGAAGATTACATTTATAGGGCATCTGAGGCCAAACTCAAGGGTAAGCTGGGAGTTGCTGAAGCTTGGAACTCAAACTCACTAAGGAATCCAAGTGTTAAGTTATATGAGCAAAGCTATCGGGTGTAATCTTTTTACACAAACAATATTTGTCTGACCCTATCAAACTTTTGTCAATTTATATTTACTTTCAAAAAAAGTACTTTGCAACATTTTCTTGAAACAAAAGAACTCTTGTTCCAGATTTTATGATTATATTTGCAGAGGTCTGAGGTAACAGGTAAGCAATGATATAAATTCCATAGGAATAGCATAGGGCATTTCTAGTAAGCGGGTAGGCTTGTGGACAGTGACAAACTGGAACGTTAGGCTTATAAAAAGATGACAATGGATAGCTATTTCCAGTGGTTAGGTATTGTGAAGGAATATAAAGTCATGTAGTCAGTAATGGGAGAAGAGATACGTAGAATTTTATATGGAATTTACCAAAATTCTACTGTTGATTCAGTGAAAAGCAATACAACAATTCTAGGATTTAACAAAGCATGGCAAAATCTGGATTAAACTGCTACCGCAGTTACTGGACAATGCTCATACCAAGGCAGTGAGAGGCAGAACCACAACTGCAAGTAAGTCTCAGCAAGTTAATCATGTGGCCTCTCTCATTTACACTGTGTCATCTGACAAGCAGCTCTTAGATTAACTTTTACCGATTAAAACCATTAAAATTTTTATAGGGCCAGAAAATAGTTTGTTTTTGTAGAAAGCCCCAAGAAGCAATGAAATGACTTCACAAAAGAGAGAAAATGACACAAGCAACAGAACTAAACTTCTCATTTGTTATCCTATCAACTCAATTTTCATTTTGGGTTCAGATGTCTTACTTTTAGGAAAAAAATTATATTTGAATATACATGCTTATAAATTTCCAACAGTGAAAGCCAAATGAAGACAAAGAATTCATTTGTGGGTTTCAAAACTGATGGCCGAAGTTCCACACTTTTGAAAAGTATAGAATTATGAATATTTTCTACCAGTACTCTTCACACCAACTAGAAAAAGGGAAATGCATTGCTCACTAAATGAAAACATGGAAAGAGCAAATAAATGGGCAGTTAAAATAGTTCCCTTCCTTTGTAAAACACCACTAATTATAGCATGCTAAACTTAGATATCTCAAATACTTATAAAATTCTCACTTTTAAGATACAGAAAAACCCAATATTACCACATAGTACTATGCAATTTAAAGTCTTATGCTTTACTCAGTGATCTAGCTAGGTAGACATTATGTGTTTTATTTGAATAGTAATTATGTTCATATGTGAGTTTACATATATATATATCTGTCGTATTTCTGGGTTTAACTTAACGATCATTAAATACATACCAAGTATTCTTGAGTGGCCCCAAACTATTGCTATTATTATTAAATTTAACTTATTTTATTTTTAAATTCAGTATCTTTATTATTAAACTATTATTATTGAATGGACATTCAACCCAATAAACACAAATCAGTTATGTTCTGTCCATTCAACTGGTCCTCATTTGTGACTTTTGCTTATACTCATAATAAACTTTCTGCTCAGAAACAAGCAACTACTGGTAAGAATTTATTTCAAAATCACAGAATAAAGATATTTCTCCTTTTCTCTATTTTATAAAATAATTATTTTCAACAATTTTTTCTATTAGTTAATAGAATATAGGGAAGATAAGACACAGAATGAGTGATTGTGATAAGAAGAAAAGTTGATTAACCTTTGGGAAGTCCCTCTGCACTTGTGAGTTTACTCTGTCTGATACTGTCAGGTATCAGTGGGATGCATTCTACCTAACCCTCAGTCTTTGATATGTGGTGATACATGAACGCAGATACACAGAAATCTCAAGGTAATATAATGCCATGAGCCACCATAAAATAAGCTCTTTGTCCATTCGTTAGGCTGGTGATTTACTCTACAAACAGACACTAAGTAATCTGGGTTAAACTTCTCCTTTAAGTGTTTATTTGTCTCCACTTTTGGCTTTCTGTTTATCAAGCGGTGATAACACTTCATTTTTGAGTAAAGATATTTGGAGTGCCTGGATCACTAGTGTTTTAGGTGAATTTAGAAACAATAAAAATGCCATGTTATAGACATGTCAGCAATGATTGCTCTTGACTATGTTTTTATATCTGTAGGTGTTCTTACACATTTGTTATCCCATTAACTATATTTCTGTAGTTCACTTGATGCTCCCCAGTAACTGGCCTCATTTCCATTATTCTTTTTAAGTATTAATATCTTCCTATAATTTATATTCTTCTATTCAACATACATTTTTGAAGAGACTAGTAAGGCATATATAAAAAAAAGAAGCTTGGGACCAGAAAGATAGTATAGCAGGTAGGGTATTTGTCTTGTGTGTGCTGATATGGGTTCAATCTCTGGCCTCCCATATGGTTCCTTGAGCAATGCCAGGAGTGAATACTGAGTGTAAAGTCAGGAGTAACACCCGAGCATTGTTAGATATGCAATGCTCCCCCCAAATAAACAAAACAAAAGAATAAGCCTTCTTTTGCCTTTTAGACAGAATATTATAGTAAGAAAAATGAACATATTCAAAGCAAAAGAACAAAATATATACGAATAGTGTAAGACAAATATAAAGTAAGTGACAGCTTTACTCATAATCAATTATCATATGTTTAAGAGCCAGTATTTTTCTTTTGCTTGAAGGATAAGGGAGCTACTCCTGGTAAAACTCATCAGTCTGTCTAAATAGTTCAAAGCTCAGGTTGAGCAATGCTGGGGACCCAGGACTATAACCAGAAGTATGGGGAGATGGTCTGAGCATACGTTACTAGGGATGGAACTTGGGGCCTTAAAGATGCAAGGCCTGTGCTCCAGCCCTTTGTGCTATCTTCATGATTTAGTATTTCTAAGACATATTCAGAGAAGGAAAAGCCCTGAAGACCAATTGTATCACAGAAGTCTTTTGAAGACACACTGACAAAATCTGCAGTATTTAGGGAACATAACTCCAGGAGCATTTATAGATCATAGTATACAAAGTGGAAGGAAGAGGGAGTTGAGTTTGAAAAAAAGCAGAAAATAGAGGTGAAACTTGTCAGAAAAAGAGTAGCTTGATGATTAAGGGAAGCTTAAACAGTTGGAATATGAGTATTCCAAATGTTCCTTAAAAAGGTGGACTTAATGCTAGATAAGTAAATGAAGTTAGTTGCATTCCACCTACTTTCCCTCAAGGCCTTTGAAATGTGTATACTGAGAGACACTGGTCTTATGTGCAAATACTAAGCAAGCTAGGGAATTGCATTTGAAATTTGTTAGTTGTAGGGGGCGCACCCAGCAGTACTAGGTGGATAGAGTCACTTCAGGTAGTGCTGAGGGGTGCAAAAATCCACTCCTGGGTGTTTGGAGATTACTGTTACTTTATTAGATATCCAAAGAATTGCATTAAAAATTCACATCTGGCATTAGCTGGCTCACCTTCTGTATACTTATCCTTCACATTACCTATTTTGGCTGTCATACAGGCCATGCAGGGCTCTAGGGTTCACTGATTTCTATATTTGCCTTTCAATCTATGCTATAATATTTTCCTGTAACATCCTTACTTATACAACTTATCCATGTTGTATGATTCAATCTAATAATTTTAGTATGCCTTCCCAAACAAGGTTTACCTCTAAAAAAATCTCTCTAGACTGCAATATGGTTTTCTCTTTATTCATGTTTTTATATAATGATTGGAAATGACATGTAATTGACTTTATATGTGTACATGCCTTACATGTTCAATATTCTGTACTGAATGTTCTTAAAGAGTTAAAATAGAAGTAATTTTGATGTAAGAATAAGAATAATCCATAATGCATGTGCAATAAGGGGGAAAAAGCATCAGAAAGGAGTTTTTCTTGCCACCACTAAGTATGCAGATCATGCATTTTCTATGTTACTTGGTTATACCTGGTACTGGGTCTGTTAAAAATATCATAAAGGCAGATGGTTCTGCTCTACATATAAATAGATGTCAAAACTGAATACTTTTTATTAGATCCTGCTTTAACAGGATATTATATGCAAACAAAATCTTCTAAAAAGCTTTATGCATGTTGCAACAGACCAATGTAAGATGTTAGTTCAGCCACAGAGGGAATCTGTAGTCTTTGGCTGCCCTTTGCAACATACCAAAGGTGTCTTGTTTCTTCCACAAACGAATTACTTATGGAAAAACATTATGACACAATTGGCAGACTTCTTCCTACTGACTAGGGCTTGCTGGTTGGGCAGATACAGTTTGCTAACACAGCTATCAACTCTGACTTAAAAGAAGGATCTACAGAGAAATTAGAATGAGAGTATAAGATTTCTGCCAGTGTCATTTCCTTGGAATCCAGTCATTTATTTATGAGGTTGACCTGGCAACTGAGCTACTGTAGAGGGAAATAACGTTGATCTGTCATTGGGAAGACTGCAGAAGCTACATTCTTAACCCTGGAGAAGAGGGAAGCTTTGGAGTTACTTGGCTGGAGGTCTTCTGGTTACATGAGCAGGATATTTAATCCTGGAATCCCAGGGAAGACAGGGTGGAAATGCAATGCCCATTCTGAATCAGAAACCTGACTTCACGGAGTGTTGCTCAGTGTAGGGTGGAGGGACCAAATAATCAAGGAGGTATGCTTTTCCAGGAGGAGTTCCAGAGGTCATTCCTCCACCCTGCCTCTTGAACTCCCAGAGGATCACTCGACTGACAATTTTTTTAATTTAAAGGAGCTGCTCTGGTCTCAGCACCAGATGTAAGAAACCACATTATAGAAATATGTCTCAAATACTGACTACACCCTTTTTTCATGGAGTCTGCTCCAGATGTGTGTCCTGAAGCCCTGGCTTATTCTGTACAGCTTTTAAACAGGGGAAAAATAAATTTTCCTCTTTAGGAGCCAAAAGTAGGACATTAGACGAATTTTCTCTTATATGGATTTATTTTACTTTGCTAGAAAGCATTTATATATCTCTATATTTATATAGAATGGCCATCATTCAACATGAATTCCTTTCTCACTATCATCCTCAGAGTTCTTTGGAGTTGCCATTTGGGTAATGACCCCAAAATAGGGTAGGCAAGGGAGACTTTTCCTTAAGTCAGAATTTTAAAAATGCTGATTTGTAGTAATGGTGAATTAGGATGGTGCAAAATGTTTGGTTTCAGGTTACTGACTCTGGTGTATCTGAGTCTATAATTGAAACATCACACACTCCTCTGAGCAGGTATTACAGGGCCAAAAGCCCTGATTGAATCAGCAAAGTTCTCTTACCTGTTTGGTTTATCTGAGGGATTTTCTTGCAGTGTGTTGAGTCAAATAAAAAAACAGAGAGCAGGACTATAATCATTAGTCTTTAAAAATATTAATTTCCATCTTCCAGCATATTATTTATAATTTCAGCTAGAGTTGTGTCCAGAGTAGTTTTTATAATCAAAAACAATAGCTCAGATAAGGCAATTATTACATGCTCAATTAACATTTAGTTAATTAGAATTAAATAGCTCTAATTTTTATATTTATAAACTATTATTTGAATTACAATATCTCTTTTGTAGAAATGATTTTTCATATATACTATTTTCTTTATTTGATACAATTGTAACGTACAATATAAAATAAATATGTCATTGCAGTTTAAAATCTCTACACGAATTGTTATCTCTAAATCAATTCTTAGATGGGTATTTGTTCATGAGATTGCCTAATGTGAGGAAGGTTGTGACGAGAAACTGGAGTTCAAATTCTCTGGAAGCTACTAGAATATTTATATTTTCAAAACTTTAGCTTTTGTGGCCAAGAAGTTAGGAAACTATGCTTGGCCTAACATACCAGTTATGTTATGATATAAAAGAGGTTTTACCAGGAAGAGCACTAGTAAAAACTGCAGTGTTTATACACATGGCATTTTAGTAACATTCCACACAGAGAAATGGTGAAATGAAAATTTGTAGCAAGATCACCAGTAGGTAGGTCAATTGTTATATTCAGTAAGCATAAGCCTGGTTTCCTTTCCTTGTTTAATCAAATTTAAGTGCAAAATAATAATAAAGAAAATTTCCTTGATACTTACAGTTCCAGGGCGAGGATATGGAATTCTTCCTTGATAGGAAATAAGCTGATGATTGGGTCCTTCTTTGTGGGCAAAAGGCCCATTAAACACAGTCTGTATGTCAGATAAATGATACACACATACTGCTGATCCTTTAAAAACTGAGCTAAAAAGAGAAAACAAAAAGAGATTCAATTTCTTATTTTTGTTTTTTTTATGGGGGGTGGACCACACCTGGGGATGCTCAGAGCCCATTCAGAGATCATTCCTGGTGGAGTAGAGGGAGTATATGGGATGTTATGGATGGAACCCAGATTGGCTGCATTCGTGCCAAGTGCTCTTCTCTCTGTACTGTCTCTCTGATCTCAAAGATTCAAGTTTTATTTTGAAGATTTAATAAATATAGTTATTTTTACATGGTATGAAAGTTCTATTTGAATTAGGAGTTTAAAATAATTTAAAAAATATTTTCTATATTTATTCATGTTTTGTAATCCACATCGTCCTCTTTAACAACATTGAGATATAATCATTATAAATATAAAAACTATTCTGAAAGCATTTGTTTAGTTCAAATATATTTTGGTAATTTGGAAAAAGTAGGTAACATAATGGTATCCTAAATGCTTTGTGAAATGAGAAGTTAAACAGAAGAATGGTTTTATAGTAATTACTACTAAATAAAACTTACTGTTTACCTTGAATGGTAATGGTTTAATAGTTACCTTGATGTTGTAAAAATACCATATACAAGTGTTGTCCTTGGATTATCAGTTTCCAGCAGAAATACATCCTCTAAAAAGGAAATTCATAAAACATTTGACAATTGTACTAAGGGGCAAAGAGTAAAAAAATACTTAAAGAAATATATGAATGGCATCCAGATCATTACTTCAACATGGCATATTATTTTTACTGAAAACATGTGTGGAAATGAATTCTATAAGCTTATTAAAACATAAACTTAGAGCTCTAATTAGAAATTATTATTTTCAATTGCACATCTACATACCTAATTCATCAAAGTATGTTTCTGGGCCATCTTCATCTGTTACGGAGCACACCAGTCTTGCTTTTAAGAAGGTTGTCCACTTGTTGACAAGGCTACGCAGTCCACCAGTGTCATTCTGAAATCATTTTATAAACATATATCGAATTATCTTCATAATATTAAAGTACAATAAACGTGAATTCAATTTGAATTGCTATTTGAGAACCTGTTAAAATCTAAACTTTAGAAATGAAAACCATGTCTGCACATTAACATGAATCATCAGAAAGGAACATTTAAGATCAACAGTGCTATAAAAATAGTCAAAGTTGCACTATTAATCTCCTGTAACATGATATCTACTGAAAATGCTTCAACAAATAAATTTAAATATACTCATCTGTCTGAGTTTTCTAAATAATATATGACAAAAGTATTTATGAAACTGTTATGGAAAGTACATAATTCAACTTGCATTTTATTGAAAACTTATTGTTTACAAAATGAACATGAATTATGGGAGACTAAAGCTTATAAATTCTACCATGACTAAGAGGCTAGCTATTATTTAGAATAAATTGTCATAAACAGCTCTATTTTCTCCTCTTTGTTCTTCTGCATTATCATTTAATCTTTGACACTACTAATCAGATGCTTTCATATTTATTATATATAATATGATATATTATATATAACACATTTATAACACACACATATATAACACATATATTAATATAAACAAGGCATGGAAAGAGGCATTTGGATAATTTACATACGGGTCCAAGTAAGAATATATATATATTTTTCTGTATTTATTGGCCCTTATGCTGGCTTTAATGTTTTACTTCATATGACTGAAAAGAAAATGAGTTGCACAATCAGTTGAAAATGTAGTATTTAAAGATAAAGTATTGACTATACTCAGAACCTTAAGAAAAACTTTATACAAAGGATGCTAATAGTGAATAATTCAGAATCATGATAATTTTGTATGGCTATATATACTTCCTTTGCATACACACGAGCATGCTTATTTGTACTAATTATAATTTTATTTTACAATAACTTTTTTGGGGGGAAGCTTCTTGAGCAGCTGGGGGTCTGGGGTGTATTCTTAGCGACACAGTTCAGTGCTGCAAGTCTTCTGGGTTGGTGCTCAGGCTTAGCTATGCAGTGCTGCTCGGGGCTAATGGTATCTGAGGGATACCATGGAGATCCCAGAAATACTCAGTAAAGAGGGTGCTTCTGGGGATCAAACTTGCCTCACACATGCAAAGCCTGCATGCCAGCCCCATTAGCTATTGCCCTGATCCCCTAAATAATTTCTTAATTTTCACTGGTGTAGAGCATTTTAGTATTTGTTTAATTCTGTGCTTTGATACTTCCTTTGCAGGAATTGTCATTTTTCTCTTCAGTTTGCAGTTATTTGTTTTTTGTATCAATGTATTAAGTAGAAAATCAAGCATTAATCAAAATGGACAGTTTAAAACTACATCCAATTATTTTCTTCGATGAAAATTTTTGTTATTGAAAAACACTATCTTTTCATAATGAATAAGCATTAATAAGCATGATTATTACTGATTACTTATACTAATTGGAATAAGCATGGCTCTTCATGGCCAGAGAGATAGATAATACACTAGGCAGGGCATTTGACTTGCATGTTGCTGACTAGATTCGATTACACTGGCACCCCTTACAATTCCTGATCCTCACCAGGAGTAACCACTGAGTAAAGAACCAGAAGTATACCCAAAGCTCATTCAGGTATGGTCAAAAAAATAAGAAAACCTGTTCTCAAAATTTATCTTTAGTGGTACTGGGAATAGAACTCAAGGTCTCAATCATGCAGGGAAATTGCTCTACCACAGAATTGCATCCCTAGCCCTTTAAGATACTTTATTAATTTGTAACAGTCACTGTCACTGTCACTGTCCTCCCATTGTTCATCTATTTGCTCCAGTGGGCCCAGTAACATTGTGAGACTTGTTACTGTGTTTGGCTTATCGAATATGTCACGGGTAGCTTGCCAGGCTTTGCTGTGTGGGCAAGATACTCTTGGTAGCTTGCTGGGCTCTCTGAGAGGGGCGGAGGAATCGTACTTTGGTGGGTCGGTCCAGTTGGCCACATGCAAGGCAAACACCCTACCTGCTGTGCTATCGCTCCAGACCAGTAGATAACAAAATTAGAAATATCAATTATTGAAAAAAAATATATATAATTTGAATGTTATATTCTTTCTTCATGTTTGAACAACATTCATACTTACAGGACATATTCTAGCAATCATGGAATGAATCTGTTTTGTGCTTCTGCTACTGTCAGTCAGTTTCTCTTTGAAGAAGAAGTATACCTTTGCATCATTTGGATCAGTGCCATCTGGAATTACATGTGCATCCACGAACATAGGTTCTGGGAAAAAAAACACAGAAACTTTGTATCATCAGAATGAAAATCCATCTCCTGTCATCTACACAGACCACAAGCACAGGCCTTTTCAATCTTTAGTATAGAAGAACAATGCATTGTTCAGAGGCAAAAAGGGCAAATGCAGTAATTACATCCACTCTATGTACCACATTTGGAATATCAAGTGCCCCAAAGTATAGCTGTAATCTGTTAGCTTAAACTATTTTCTCTGTCAGCAATACAATCTGGAAGTGCAGTAAATGCAGAAATTCTTTGTGAGCTGATGAGTTTTTAAAAATTGAAATGCTATTCTACCACTTATTTTCCATGCAATATGATAGTGATTTTATAGGAAAAAAGATTTTGGGTTTAGAAAGAGTGGTTTTCAAAGTATCGCATATGAATTAAAAATCACTGAAGCAGAATGAGACGCCTGGAGTCCAAGATCTGAAAAAGTCCATTTTTTTTCTTAAAATATAGCATATGAAATGAAGGGGAAACTTTTCAATGAAAAAAAATGCAGTCATTAGAAGACACAGAAGGATTCCTTATTTAAAGAACAAAACAACTTTTAGAATGCTCAATTTCCAGATGTACTAGAGGACCAAACTGAAGAAGTCAAGACAATGCCTTCTTGTACTGGTCTATCAGCAAAAACGGAAGCTTTCGTGGTAGTGATTCATGTTTAGCTGTACAGTTCTAAGTGAACTGCCAAATACAGGGTCAGCTAGAAATTTTACCCAGGAAAAAAATGACAAGGATCTTCGTAGTTCCTTCCTCGTTTAAGCATCAGCAATTGATTGGAACTGTGTTTTGAAGTCAATAAACATTTTACAATGCAAATTCCATGTGACATCAAGAATCAGAAATAGTTGTATGCTAATAATCATAAATGTATGGCTCCATTAAATATTTACTTAATATTTATTAAATATTTTCTTACCACTAAGCCATTTGGAATTGTGTTGATCAGTTCTGACTGGATTCCTCTTCGTTAAGCTTCGGAAAATAGCAGCATCTGTCCCCATAAAATCTATATACATTCCAGAGAAAAGCTCCTCATCTATTGAAAATGAAAAAATGTAAACACAATTTAAGTTTTTGTACAAGAACTTCATTACGAGATATCACAGATACTAAAGTGCATATAATTGGTAATTGGATTTCATTGTCCATCAAATGAAAAAAAATTGAAAATTATAACTGGTGTTACTGCTGTCTCCATGAACACCATTATATTTATTTATTTATTTATTTATTTATTTTGCTTTTTTGGGTCACACCCGGCGATGCACAGGGTTTACTCCTTGCTCTTCACTCAGGAGTTACTCCTAGTGGTGCTCAGGGAACCATATAAGACGCTGGGAATCGAACCCGGGTCAGCCACGTGCAAGGCAAATGCCTTACCCACTGTGTTACTCTTCAGCCACAATATATATTTTTAAAAATCAAACCCAAAAACACTTTATTCTACATCAAAGCAAAAATTTCCCTTCCAGAACTTAATTGCATCAAATATCTTTGTTTACAGAGTATATGAAATGGGAGAAACACACAAATACTAAAGTTAATAAAATATCTTAATTAACTGCTTTCTTCCAATAAATACAAAATGTATTTCTAAGTTTCTAAACTTAATATCTAACATTGATAGTTTTAAGAAAGTTAGAACAGTTCAGTTAATTACCAAACTGAATTTCCATTTTCTCATTTGGAAAATATGGGAATTTGATTATTATCACAAAATATTTCACCACATATTACAATTCTATAATTTTGCTAAGTAGATTAAAGTAACAGCTCTTACTAATTAATGACAGGCCCATTAAAAATAATTAAAACTGTATGTTTTGCCTTCTCTATAAAGTACATTAAGGGAAGCAAAATGCTTCTTTTGTAATGGTAACAACAATACTGTGTTAATAGCAGGCTAATAAAACAATCATATATTGCATGAGAGATATCCATATATCATTATAAAATTAATATGTGATATTAATACATAAAGACATAAAAATATATTGTATAAACCAAAAATATATCTAACAATCAAATTAATATTAATGGAAAAATCTGTTGCATTAATTTATGTATATATAACAGACGTTTACTTTATTTGTTAACATCCTTATCAGTTTATTTTTAGTAAGAAAAGTAACTTTTGAATTGGTATGTGTCCCTTGAGTATAAGGTAGTAAAACATATTTTTTAAGTAAAAAAAATATGTCCACTGAACAACCTTGCAAAGAAAGTTCATTGGTGTTCTAGAATTACTCCCTCTGCTACCTTAATGTCTTAGGCATTCTGGCAAGCCTGAACATTTTGAAGTACTCTAAGTTCACTGTGTAGTAATAAAAAAATCTGTTGGCCAGTTCAGAATGGAATGTTTTTAATATATGCTCCCAGGTCATGAACTGGCTCCATAATTTAGCAACTAGGTGTGGCATAAATTGTGAAGCCAAGTTCTGCTTCCTAGGCAAGCAGGGGTCTGAATCCATGAGAACAAATAACTAAATGTGCATAAAAAGATTCTGAGTGATTTACCATCATTGACTATACAGATCGTACCCCCAGACAGTGAATCCTAAATTTATGTTACTACCTAGATTGATTAATATAGTTATCATTGATCATATCTGATTCCAGGAAGGAAAAGAAAACCGGACACTGAGAATTGTATACAGCACTCAGATGAGACACATAGAGGGCCAATTTTAATCCTATTGTTACCATTGCATTAGTTATATTGAAGCTATTAAAGACTGAATGTCTAATTGGCTTTATCTCCTGTCATAAATTCTAACTAATTTTAATAAGTTTGGAATAATAAGTGTTCTACTTAATTTTGTATCAATATGAAATAATTGATTATGTAACTTTGGAAAATATTTCAGTTGAGAGTAGTAGGTAGATTTTCATAATTTATTTGTAAGGTTTATAAAAAGATATATGTAAATCTTTTAATTTCAGTTAGAAAACACTTTGTGGGCTAAAGAGATGGTACAATGGGTATGGTGTTTGCCTCGCACACGGCCAACCTGAGTCAAATCCTGGCAAACTAAATAGACACAGAAGCCTCTCCAGGAATGATCCCTTAGCTCAGAATCAGGAGTAAACCCTGGTGCACTGTCAGGTGTGGTACAAAATCAAAACCAAAATATTTTTCTTTCCAATTATACTTATACTGGTGAGAAAAATTTCTTGAATTTTTTTAATAAGTGCTACTGATATCATCTGACTTCTGTTGTACTATTACATGACTGAAAATAGCAAAAAAAGCATCAAATTTGCACATTAAGATTAGATGGTAAAAAATATTGTGCAATGTTAAAGTAGGAGAAATGTAAATATTCTCAATATCAGAAAAGTATGTATAAAAATATTTTTATGTAAACCTGTGAACATTTTTGTAATTGGTTGATTTGATGTAGGAAATGATATCGGTGCCATATTAGATGAAAAATTACACTTATAATTTAATCATAAATTTTCATGGAAATGGAAATAAAAATTTCTATGTATCGGCTCATAATTATCATTATTTTTTCATGCAAGATAATTAATGCCAATGTCCAAAATGGGAACACCACATCATGACGTTTTGTCACTGAATTTTCTTTTAGCTTAGTTTTGTTTTGTTTGGGGCTATACTCAATGGTGCTCAGAGTATTATTCCTATTGGTGTTCCAGGAAATAGGTGAAGTGTGGGGGCTTCAAATAAAGATGAAATCCATGAGTCTTAACCACTGTACTATCTCATCAGGCTCACTGAATTTCTTTTTTGTTCTATACAACTCCTTCTCTACTTTATTTTCAACTTACTGATCATAACAGACACAGTGTTCACATTGGGGTTGAAAGAGCAGCGTCCTTTTCCAGATTCACACTTGGAGTCAATCATGAAAACTTGGTCCTTAATTAGAAATATAGAAATAGATAATGTAGAAACAATAAGTACATGAAATAAGGATGTATAAAGCATTATACACAATATGATTAAGTATTTAATAATTTAGCTTAAAGTGTTTCATGTAATCATTTATTTATTTAGAAAACATATATTGAGCACCTATTATGTGCTAGGTATTAAAATGCTTGGAGAAGAACCCCTGGGCCTTCAGCAGTGCTGTCCCCAGCAGACGTGTCTGGTCAGGGGTCACAGAGCTCTGAGAAGCAGCTGGACACGGTCGGGGTTCATGGTGAGTGGGCGAGACTCGAACCCCATCCTCCCTGCAGCAGGGCGCCACACAAAAAAAAAAAAAAAATAAAAAAAATAAAATGCTTGGAGAAACTAAAATTCAAAGGGAAAACATTCCTTTTAGTAGATGGAGAGCCTTATTATTAAATTATATAAAGTAAGCATTACAACTAAAATTCAAAGGAAATATATTCCTTTTAGTAGATGGAGAGACTTATTATTAAGTTAAGAATTTTAAATACCCTGAAAAGCAATTCAGGATATTTTTGAGCATGAAAAATAATGAAAGAATCAAAATGTTGCTTTAAGGTTGGGACTCACCATGTGATTCAAGAAAACTGAAAATGACAGTTATGAAAACAAAATACAGTCTCAAGGAAATAATTTAGTTTTCAGTTGCAATAGTCCAGGAATTAGGTAATAATAATCTGAAATGCCAGGATCTTAATGGTCACGGTAAGAACAGTAAAGGAGGAGGATATTATGTAAAGTTAAAATCAGCAAAGCTTGGAAATCAATTCCCAATTGGATGGGGATCAGGAAGACGAAGAATACAGAGATGACTTTGAAGTTTTGACTCCATAATAAAAATAAAACTAGCTCATTTTTGTTGATTGAATTTGGTGTCTTGGCCAGACATCCTTGAAGCAATAGGGAATCATAGTCATTTAGTCTGAAAAAGTTCAATAATATGAACAACTCTACAGGTGAGGAATGTATGACATGTCCAAGATTATGCAGCTAGTGACAAAGTACAAAACAAAAATTCAGTGTTCTGTTTCTTAACTATGATTTCTTTCCTTATTCTTTTTCATTTTCCAGATAAGATTTTATTTGAGAGAAGTGAAAAAAAGGGAAAGAACATTAAAAAGGTCCCTGATTATGGAAAGGGTCTTCTAAAGGAGGTTTTCCTCTATGTATTATTTCTAAATAGTCATCATCTATATAAAGCCTAAACTCAGTACAAAATGATAGAATTCAACAAAATGCACTAAGTCATAAAAAGTACCAGAACTCCTTTTAGGAATATTTAAAACATATTGCTCCTTTATTTTTGCATGCTATAGGATGAACCTATTTTTAAATTTCTGAATAAAAATGTATTGATAAAAAATTCATAGAAGGCAATACAATATACTTTAAATTTGAAATACCAATACAATATTGGACCTATATACTGATCAGCAACCTTTAAGATACATTTCCAATGATGCTGATGAGAATGCGTAACCTTAAATAAGGCACATCTTCAGCTTCTAGAGTACCAAGCAGACTGACACACAACCACACATGTATACACACAAAGAGATGTTCACTAATACTCCAAGGTGGTCACAGATTAGTACTGCATAAATGGGGAAAAAACACAAGAGTAGGAGGCCATCCAGAAATACTGGGAAATACTGGGAAGGAAATTAGGTCCAAAGGGGACCATGGTCAGATAAAAGGTTGGTAAATCCTGTACTGATACATAAGAGGTACTGAATCTCTCACTTTGATGTCAATCACTTCTCACAATTTAAAGTCAATGTCTCTATCAAAATTTTATTTTAGGAAACTTGTGATTTCAATTTATCTCTTTTTTATCATACGTTGCTGAAAAATTGTCAACCCTACCTTTAATAACGTCAGCGCAATTAAGAAAAACTTCCAATTGTCTAATCTCCCAAGTTTGGCAAAAACAAATGGCAGAAAATCTGCAATGTTATGTAGTAAAGTGTAGTATCTGTATTTACTAACTATATCCTTTCTTTACCATTTAAATTACTTTAGTTCCTACATATTACTCTTCCTGTGAACAGATCAATTAAGAAATTCCATATATTCTTCACTGAGATAATGATTTTAAATAAATAAATCACAATTCTGGTTGTAAATGAGAAAAGAACAAATGCAGGAGAAAGGGAATGAGTGCTAAAAATACAGTGATGAAGGGTTTTGATCAAAGAAGTTTATATACAAGACTATGAACATCTTCTTGTCAAGAAGAAAAGCTACAAGAAATTCTGAGAAAATATTAGTGACTAATTTATAACAAAAATTATAGGGTATAACTCTAATCCCTATGATATTCAAAGTCACCTGTGACATTCTTGGTCAGTCAAAGATAAGGTTGTCTGCTAGATGACAGGTAAAGTCAGACAGTGATGAGATGTTGTAATAATCCAAGAATGTGCAAAAACAGGGTTAAATATACTGACATCTCCCCCCAAGCATATGATCATCTAATCTTTGATAAGGGGGCAAGAAAAGTGAAGTGAAGCAAGGAAAGCCTCTTTAACAAATTGTGCTGGCAAAACTTGATGGCTACATGCAAACAAGTGGGCTCAGATCTCTGCCTAATGCCATGTACAGAAGTAATATCAAAGTGGATTAAAGACTTCAACATCAGACCGGAATCCATAAGGTACATTGAAGAAAAAGTTGGCAAAACACTCCATGCAATTGAAGCTAATGGTATCTTCAAAGATGTCACGCCACTGACCAAGCAAGTGAAAATAGAGATAGACAAATGGGACTATCTTAAATTAAGAAGTTTCTGCACTTCAAAAGAAACAGTAACCAAAATACAAAGACAGGGAAAGGATATTCGCCAAATACACATCCGACAAGGGGTTGATATCAAGGATATACAAAGTACTGGTTGAACTCCACAAGAAGAAAACATCCAATCCCATCAAAAAATGGGCCTATGAAATGAACAGAAACTTCCTCAAAGATGAAATCCAAATGGCTAAAAAGTACATGAGAAAATGCTCCACATCATTAATCATCAGGGAGATGCAGATCAAAACCACAATGAGATATCATTTCACACCTCAGAGACTGGCCCACATCCACAAGAACAAAAGCAACCGGTGCTGGCATAGATGTGGTGAGAAAGGGACCGACCTTTACTGCTGGTAGGAATGCCAACTGGTTCAGCCCTTTTGGAAAACAGTATGGACGATTCTCAAAAAATTAGAAGTTGAGCTCCCATTTGACCCAGCAATACCACTCCTGGAAATATATCCCAGAGAGGCAAAAAAGTATAATCGAAGTGACATCTGCACTTGTTTGTTCATTGCAGCACTCTTTACAATAGACAGAATCTGGAAAAAACCTGAGTGCCTGAGAACAGATGACTGGTTAAAGAACTTTGGTACATTTACACAATAGAGTACTATGTAGCTGTTAGAAAAGATGAAGTCATGAAATTTACATACAAGTGGTACTACATGGAAAGTATCATGTTAAGTGAAATGAGTCAGAAAGAGAGGGACAGACATAGAAAAATTGCATTCATCTGGGGAACATAAAGTAACACAATAGGAGACTAACATCCAAGAATGCTTAGATTAGTACCCGGAATTTTGCTCCATGGCTTGGAGGCCAGCCACACCCGCTAGGGGGAAAAGGCAGCTCAGATAGAGAAGGGGGCACCAAATAAAGGGTGTTGGGAGGATCCTCCCAGGATGGGAGAAGCATGCTGAAAGTAGACTATAGACCAAACATGATTGCCACTCAATGCTTCTTTTGCAAACCACAACATCCATAAGGAGAGAGAGAACAAAGGGGAATGCCCTGCCACAGAGGCAGGGTGGGATGGGGACGTGGGTGGGGGAGGGATACTGGGATCCATGGTGGTGGGAAATGGGCACTGGTGGAGGGATGGGTATTTGATCACTGTATAACTGAAACCCAAGAACAAAATTTGTAAATCTGCAACTGTAACTCAAGGTGTCTCACTAATAAAAATTTAAAAAAAATATTAACAGTTGATTTTAACTTTTATTTGTTTTTGACATTTTATTTGTTTAAGTTATTATTTTTTATGATATTTTACTTGTTTTTCTGAGTCAAACACTGGAAGAAATGGTAGTGGATATAAGAGAAGAGACACAGTTAGGAAATGACACAGCAACAATCCTAGAGTCTTTGAACTGCTAAAATTTAAATGCTATCAGGAAGCTCTAAATTAGTACGATGTAACAATGGAAGAGTAATGGGACATATTAAAGCTTATTATTCTATATGTAATTGGTATATATCCAAAAATATTTTTTGAGAACCAGTAAATAGCTTGTTGAAAGGCAAATGAAAAGGTGTTGGATAATGTCTCAGAAACACAAATCAATAATTGATTAACCTGGCTTGCTTTCAAATTACTTTTAAAAACATGGAGTGTCTTATAGTAGTACTAACACAGGTATTTGCAATAATGACAGCTTCTAAGAATCACAAAATACATGTGAGCTGAGAACAAGAAGGATAATTATTGCAAAATGCCACTTTCCACATAACTTAGCAATCATTTTGTGAAAGAATGTTTTATTCTAAACTAAATAACATAAAAAATACATCAGATGTTTGTAAAATTGTATCCTATATTTAAATTCTAATTTAAATACTATAGATATATTATGGTGTCATGGGAAGATGCTTTGGATACCAAGGAAAACATATAAAGGTTAAAATTAATAACCTTTTTCATACTTAAATTGCCTCTTCAGATGTTGATGTTATTTAAAGAGATTAATGAAAATTCTTCTTTAAAACATATCTTTTGAAGTGTGACTAAAGCAGTTCATACTTTAGCAAAGTGATTAAAATTTATTTCATGCTGGTTTTTCAAAGGAGATTATTTCTTTGGACAGGCTTTCCAACCAAGCCTTGATGTACATAGTGGGCAATTTGTACATGGGAAAATGATTCTATTGAATCCTGTACTCTGAAAAATGTTATGCTATTGTTGGCTTGTACAGTGACTGCATAGTCTTCAATGGAGTGTCAGACAGATTGCAGACGTCTGGGGCAGGAGTTTATTTAATCAATTGATCACAGGCATGTGGTTGTAATGACAAGCTCAATGCAGCCAACTGTACTTTTTCAAGAAGCATAGATTTACTTTTTCTTTAAGAATCTTAATATTTCATGTCTTTCTAAACCACTTGAAATGTTTCAATTCAGTATTAAGCTATAATTATTGATTTACTTTTAAAGACTTTTTATTCACCAAAAGACAGATTAGTACAAACTTTAATTCTGGAATAAATATATTTAATAATAAAAGAATAAAGACAAAATCTTTGTTAAATTATAGCAATCTCATAAAAGATTAATCTTTCTCAACAATACATGACAATAGTTATACTTAAACTTGTCTATAATTTTTAATCCCTAAAATTGTTTTAAGACATGAATTAAGAACTAGATTCACTAGATTTGTTATACAATAAAACCAAATTACAATAATTTGTTTTGAAAAGTATTTGTATTATATGAAGCAACTTGTTTGACTAGAAAAATAAGAGAAACTTTTTGTCTAACACAGTGTTCTTAGTTAATAACTGTAAAATAAGATAACATATATTCAAATATCATAGATGAAGGTCCAGGAAGCTAATACTGAACTATGTCTTAACCATGTTTTGAAAAATATTTAGAAATGCTTTTCTTTATGTAAACACAAATCAAATTTTGCAGTTCTTGAGCCAAGTTAAATAATCTAGTAAAAACTGATGATGACCTAAAAAGAAAGATTATATAGTTTTACTTAGTCACCTAGCATCCTATCATCTAAATATCATAACACTTAACACATTTGAAAGATGAATGAGAAAATACTTAGCTTGAATATAAGAAAGCAGTTTTACACTATAATATTCCTTTGACATGGAGCAAATATTATGAATGCCTAATTATGCTTTTTTCTCCATTATCGTTATTCTACTCCAAGATACAGATAAAAATACATTATTAGTAAATAATATAAATGAATACATAACTTATTATTTACACTAACAAAATACTGTTATTTATGTTTATATGTCACTTATTCAATAATATACACATATTGAGTTGAGGGGAAAACACTATACTTTAACTAGAATATAGGAACCAAATGTATTACCCTTAATTTTAAAGGGCTTGGAGTATTTTAAAGCTTATTGACATTTCTAAATTTCTAACTCTTAGACATAGTTATAAGAACTGCTTTACACACTAAAATTAAGAATGAAAAAATGTTACACTTACCTCTGATCTCCTCCCTCTGTTCAAATAAGTACAGACTGGGCTGAAAGCACCACTCCCACAAACATACAAATGAGTGCGGTTGAAAGTCTGAATCACACGAACAAAGTTCCCACAGCCATGCTAAAAGATTAGGTAAATATTCAGTTAGTAAGTTTTACTGTTTCTAAGTATGAACTTATACTTTGCTACAATTTTCCTTTCAGTTCACTTTGTTTCTTATGATTCTAGCTAATGAGAACAACATGGTTTACTCCACTGATTTGTTTCAGGAGGAAGGTGTCTTTGGTCATGAGTAAAATAGTTTTCTCATATTTCAACATTTTATATACTATTAAGTTGTAATGTTCTAAAACATGTTCTTAAGAAAGAAATTGTAAGTTACAGATTGCTTTCTCAATTTTTCTCAAAACAATATACATGTACACACATGTTATATAAAGATGTTTTCAAAGAAACTGTGCTTATACAAGCAGACATGTTATTACAAGCAATGTCAAACTTATTCCTTTATAGTTAGTGAGAAAAAAATTGTGCAAGATGCCAGCACTATTACTTTCTATGAAACATACAGTAGTCATCTCCTTATCGTCGACACCAATTGTTAAAACAGAAGTTGACAAAATAATGATTTGGCTTGGGGTCACACCTGATGGTGTGAGGGGATAATCCTGGGGCAGGGCTCAGGGGTCCTTCCTGGCATAGTACTTGGGGAACCAGGCAGGCTGAGCATTGAATAAAGACTCCTACACTCAAAATATTCGCTCTGACTCTTTGAGCCATTTATGCAGCCTCTAAAGGTTGTATATTTAACTTAAAGGTAAAGGTAAAGGTAAAGGCCCTCCCGTTGATCGTCGATTTGCTCGAGCGGGCCCAGTAACGTCTCCATTGGAGACTTTGTTGTTACTGTGTCTGGCATATCAAATACTCTTGGTAGCTTGCCGGGCTCTCCGAGAGGGGCGGAGGAATCGAACTCGGCTCGGCCATGTTGGCCGCTTGTAAGGCGAATGCCCTACCCGCTGTGCTATCGCTCCAGCCCTATATTTAACTTATTATTAATCAAAATTGTGTCATATCTTTTTTCTATTACTTGCTAACAAACATATATTTCTATATACATAATTCTATACAGCAATTTCTATTATAAAATTTTATTATCAAGTGATCAATTATTAACTCTGTATTAAATAAATTATCCCTTAAATATCAAACTATATCCTTTCATTTTAAGACATGGCATTTTTGTTAAATATATAATGTCATTCGCTTTTGAAACCTATTTACTGGAGCATGTGAAAGCTGATTATACAAATGCAGATGATAGTATGTTTTTCGGGAGAAAAACTATTGAGTGCAGCATGCATATAATATGTCTATGATATTGGAGCAATGTGGATTAATTTTTCATAACTCACTTTGCTCTAAGTTCTATACATAATTTTCCCTTAAGACATGAATTCAATAGTTTGATTAATAATAGATTATGCTTGATTAGTCTTCGTTATTAAAGTCTACCATCATGAATTATACTAATATTAGTAAAAATGAGAAAAATTAATAGGTTTTCATATTTCAAACAGGTCATACTTTCACATGCCTCTATCTCTATAACAGAGATATAAGTGTATTTATTGCTAACATTTTGAGAATGTATTATGTGCTAGATGTATATATAAACCATTATACATAATGTTATTTTAACTATTTGCCAGAAAGTTTGATTTTTTACCTTTAATGTGAGCTACATTTATTGAGCATAACATATGCTATTTAGACAGTTAGCAGTTATTCTATTTTTTTTAAACAATTCAACTCTTTTTAGAAAATAAGACTGAGAGCTTTCTTAGTTCACCTGATAGGTTATAGCATGGGAAATGAGTAGAGCAAATATTTGCTTTTGTTGGGCAACCATACCTGGCAGTACTCAGGGCTTAGTCCTGATTCTGAGCTTTATTCTGTGGGTAGAAGAGTAAACTAGGCTTTTATTATAATTTTTTGGGGGGTACAGTGTTGGTCAGACACAAGTGTTGCTTAGGGTTTACTTCTGGCCCTGAGATTAGGGATCACTCCTGGCGTCTTGGCCATTGATGGGGTTATGTAAGCATTACACCCAACAACTATGTAGGCGTTACACCCACCAACTGCCCCTGGCTGCCGTGTAATCCCATCAATCCCCAAGACCCAGAGACTATAAAACACGACTCCCGGAAGAGAACAGAGTAGTCTCCTGACGCCGCGCCTGGCTGTCCTCACTGGGGCCCCTTGGAAGAGGGTGAGTTGAGTTTCCCTTCCCACCCCGAACAGAGCCCTGGAAGCTGAAGACCTCTGGTTCCAGCCACAGCCATGCTTAAGACCACTCTCCATATATTCGGACGAGCCTCACACATGAAGGAACCAGCAGAGGAACCTAGGTGTGGGGACCCGGGGCGTAGATCTCTAAACCTGCTCAGATTGGGACTGGGCCTCCTCCATCCAGATTCCCCATCTTCCAGTATGTAGGCATTACACCCACCAACTGCCTCCCTGGCACCCCCGTATAATCCCATCAAGAACATCAAAGTAAAGAAAACCAATTGAGTTGACAAGAGTAATGTATGAGGTTCTTTCCATTTCCACTGCGCTGCCTTAGTTATTGTCCAGATTACTCTGTCCAGACCATTCTAATCTAATCAACTTGCTCTACGTATGCACTGTAGAAGATGCTAGCAACACTGGAATGAATCGATTCAATTCCTGCTTTTAGAGAAAGGAAGGCATAATAAATACATCATCAGGTTGCACTAGGTGCTGCAATCAGGATATATATGTATATAAATATGTATACACACAAGTACATATATATGTCTATATGTATATAATTGCTAACAAAGGTAAGAGAAGAGAAAGAATTGTGCTGCCCAGGGTGAAAAGGTCAGAGAAAGGTGTCATTTGAGCCGGACTAAAGAGTAAGCTAGAGATACCGACAAGTAAAAGCACATAGAAAGAACATTCCAGGAGAAAGCAGAATATGAATTTTAAAATGGAGGCATGACTGTGCAGGATTTCCTTGGGAAACAATGCCTGGAGGGAAGAGAAGTTTATTGTGTGATGAAACTAGAAAAGTAATTAAAGTTACTGTCCTCCTGACCTCAGCTTCAGATGAGCAACAGAGAGTAGATTTAAACATGAACTCATAGTGAGATAAACTGAGTTCAAACTGGCTTTACTTTTTACAAGTTGTTTCTATTTGAGACATTTATTTAGCCTTCCTCTGTGCTTCAACTTTTGTATCTGTATAAGGTGATGATAATATTTACTGTAATAACATACTCATAATAAAAATTGGAAGGTTAAAAAACCCATCACAAATTCTGGAGAGTCTTTCATGCCTGTGTTCAATTCTAATTTATCACTACAAACCCTGAAAAGCAGTCATGTCATTTGTTCCATGCATAGGTTAGTATAGTCCTGCCCATTGTAAGCATCCGATAAATGTTCCAAGAATGAGATTTCTGCCAAAGTCAATACCATTTATGCCTTCCTTTAGTGGTTTAATTGTATTTCAAAGTAATTTTATTGTACAATACTAAAGAAAAGTTGGACTGCTATCATACATAATAGAACACTGTTTTATTTACGCACACATGTATGCCATTTAATAAAATGCCAGAAAAATCTAACTAAAATTCGTGTTACTATGTTTGAGCAGTATGGTTTATTTCAGAGTAATACAATATTTTATTTGTGTACGTGTACATCCTTTTCTAAGCGCTCTGAAAATAACAAACCAGTAAAATAGGAACTATGAGTAGGTCTATTATAAAGCATAGGAAACAAAGCACAGCGTAGGTAAGTCTCCAAGGTCAAGAGCTGATAATAGACTTTGTTCTGTTACTTTCAACATTTCTTTCTAGGCCTTCTAAGATTTCCGTACTGAAGATACATGTTATATGATTTAAAAACAAATGTTTTCAAAATTATGTCTTAGACATAGATGAATGAAGCTTGAAATGATTGACTTTTCATGAACTTTACTATGCAAAGAGGGTGAAAAAAATCTTCTTGGCCTATATTTATTTATGGCGGAAAATAAATCAAATATTCTTTTATATCTGTTTTTAAGGAAAGTATTTTCTAGTAGTTTAGGGTAATCTCATAACAAATACATGGACTCTGATAACCTATAGTATCAGAGTTCAGAAATGTGTGCCTGTAATGCATTATGTCAATAAATGCCGTCCTGCTGACTTTTTTCAGTGAACTCTTACAGCACTTCCCCTATGTCCTATCTTACTGGTCATGTTTGACAGTAAGTGCTAACGCTGAAGTTCAATTTATTTAGATAAGAATAAAATTTTAAAATAAATTGAGCATATAAGAATGTGAAAATGTAAGGAATATCGAATATTCCTCATGTATATTCTTACATATTCCTCATGTAAGAATATGAAGAATTAGGGGCTGGAGCGATAGCACAGCTGGTAGGGTGTTTGCCTTGCATGCGGATGACCTGGGTTCAATTCCCTGCATCCCATATGGTCCCCCAAGCACCGCCTGGAGTAATTCCTGAGTGCAGAACCAGGAGTAACCCATGAGCATTGCTGGGTGTGACCCCAAAAAACGCTAGAACAACAACAACAACAACAACAACAAAAAGACTATAAGGAATTAAAGAAATGGGAGGTAAGGTATATGATCTTAATTGAAGCAGATAATTTTCTATATTTATTCCAAGAAATTATTTTCTTTATAAACAACTCATTAGAGTATGTTACCTAAATCAAATTTTAAATCACTTTACGTAATTTTCTAGCAATATCTGTATCTCTTTGATAAACTTAACTTTTTTCACAAGAAAAATATGTTTAAGTAAGGGTTGTTTGGTTTGGTTTTGCTTTTTTCAAAATAGTTACAGTGCTATAATAATAGAAATCCATACAACACTATGAATTGTCACCTTATGTTTTGCTAGTATATGATTAATAAATTTTAAAGCAAGAAATTTGAGCAAAATTTACTTTTAAAATATTTGAATAAAAAATTCACTACAAAAATGATTAATCAAAAGTCATTAATAAACTAATCAGCCAAGACACCCAACTGTCAAACTTGAACAATTACTTGGAACAGATTCCATGTTTGCTTGCTTCCACTTTATTTTTTTCCAGAGATTTTCTGAATTTTATGAAAATGTCTAGGTATAGAGCTGGATATTGGAAATAATGGCTTTTACTATACAGCATATCCCATTTGTGAGTAATGACTTATAGCTAAATATGCATTGAAGTAAGTACCAGAGTCTATCTGGCTGACACACTGGGGAAGGCAGCCAGCTTAGTCTGGTGGGGAGAGAAAGCTTTCCAAGAAAACTGCACCATCATCCAATGAGATGAGTAGATGCTTCCTAGGTTAAAAGGATGAGACAATGTTCAAACAAGAGGGAAGTCATATGTGTTGTCAAAAGCTGAAGGAACAAAACGATACAGTATAATTGAAATTTTAAAAAGAAAAGGGAGAAGGATAGGAAAGATCAAATATGATTGCCAGTCAATATATCCAATCTTCCTTAAATATTACAGTCACATATATCAGGTCTTTATCTTTTGTATGTATCCTTAGTGTTTACCATATTCTTCCTGGAGAGTGATATGTTTTATCTACAAAGGGTACAGATAGAGTCGTAATGCACTGAGTCAGACAGTGTTTTCTACTTGGTAGTAGTGCAGTTTCGGTGAGTTCCAAGCTCTTAACTGATTCTCTTTTGTTATCATAAAAATGTGGATAATCACGAGTGACTTTGATCTGAAAACTAAAATAAAGTACTTGGAATAGTCATGAAACATCATATTATGTGCTGTTATTGTTTAATAATTATTGTAAACATTAACATATGCCATGCCATCTATATATCATATATCTCTCAAAAATAAGGGCTATAACTTATTTACCTCTTGTTCTTCACAAATGACATGTGAGAATTATGACTTTGAATTCCCATTTTATAATTAAAATATAGGTATTTATGCAAACAAATCTAAGACTGTCTTAAAAGCTTGATTATTTAAAAAGTATAAAAGGAATGCATGTTCTGTAGAACTTCAAAGACATTTTTTCTCTTAAGTAAATAAGAGATGCATGAATTTGAGTAGCCTTATTATTTCTCAGTATCCAACAATATTGGCTGTGCTACTAGAATAGACACCTTCATCAGTTTTTTATATATATTTATGGGCTGGATAACAAAATTTAAAGCTCTCAATGAATGATATTACAGCATGAAAAATTTGAAAGCTAGGTAAATTTAAACATGCAGCAAAGGTTTCATATGACTTTAAATTAGAAGAAAGCAGTAGAACATTTCTACTTTGCTGAAGGGAGAAAGAAAATAAATTTGCTGAGATCTTCAGAATATGAAACACTGATCTCTAGAAAGAATGTACAAAGGTATCCAAATACTACATATTCTGGCAATTGTATTAAAACAAATGGAGAAAAAAACCTTTCTGAACAAAGGACAATTTAAGTCTGATAATCACAACCATAGAATGTAATTATGGCAAAGGACAAGACATGACCAGGTAATAGTTTAATGGATACATGATTATGGAAACAACTTCAGAGAACAAGAAAGGTCTAATCCACAGCACACTTCAATCGTCTGGAACAACTAAAATTCTAGAAAACAACCAATTCTGTGTAAACCAGTTACAATTTATTCTTTATTAGAATTACTTCCATATTTTTCTAGATCCCCTCCCCCTTTAAACTAGGATACAGGGGATGGAAAGATAGAACAGGGTTAAGGCTTGTGCTCGGCTGATGTGTGTTTGATCTCCTGAACTTATAAAGAACACAAGGAGTGATCCTTGAGTACAGAAACAGGAGAAAGCCCTGTCAGGTGTGGTCCCCAAATAAACAAACAAAATACAAAAATTAAGAATAAACTTGGATCCAGAATATCTGTCAGCAAATACACTTTTGCCAGCTTCTACTTTCTTTTCGTAAATTCCTTGTACACGGTGGACTATGAAGTTAAAAGTATAAAATCCAGATGGCGGAGTGATAGCACAGCAAGTAGGGCCTTTACCTTACACACAGTCAACCTGGATTTGATCCCCGGCACCCCATACAGTTCCCCAAGCACCACCAGAAATAATTTCTGATTGCAATGCCAAGAGTATATTCTGAGCATCACCAGGGGTGGTCCCCCAAAGCCCCTTGCCCCTTCCTCCCCACCCTACCCCACCCCACCCCACCCAAATACGATCCAGAATTGAATCATCCCAAAGATTTCTCTCTTCAAGAGCACACTCCAGTGACAGCTAAACATTTACACTGGAGTTTTCCTTAGCCCTGTCTTGATTTTAAACCTTCTCAGAACATTATATCTGAACTGAAAAATGTAATGTTTTACATTTCTATTTTTATACATATTAAGAAATGTGATGTAAAAATAAAATGTTTATACTGCCATCTCTCATAAATCTTTTCCTATTTTGAATCTATTTGATGAATCTCTGAAACTCTCATTGTGCTTAAATATATAGCCTTCATTCCCACAATCAGCATTCCTTAGCTCTACACTTAACACAGTAATTAGGCAACATTGTTTACACTAAATCACGGTTATTGTTTCTTATGACCTCAGACCTGCCTGTGCGTATATGTGTGTCTGTTTACCAGTTTTAATAACCAATCAACAAATTTGAATCTCATACCTCTGTTTACATATATTTTCACGTGTATTTTATTAATGCTGAATTTTCTAATAAGATCATAAAATTGAGGAGCCAGAGAAGTGTCTACTTTGGCACAAAATACTCCTCTAACAATTAATACTATACTATGTCAGAAACTTAACGAGTTACCAGTTAATGATTATTGACTGAGTTATTTAAAGTCTGAATAAATAGATTTCCTTATCATATTATTTTTGTAAGCGTAGGTGATTTAGATCCTTGTTTCCAATATGTTATTTTTTATGGTTTGAGACAAGAAGGTGAACAAACATTTATGCTTAATTATTAACATTAAGTGGCTCTTGTTAATTAAAAAAACACTCTATACATTTCTTTTATAATGTTCAAGAAGAACCTGATGTATCAGATTTAGTACATTGCTTTTTAAAATAAGTGTAGATGTATCTATTGTTAAATAAGTGCAGATGTATTTATATGTGGACTTGCCCATATATATCATGTAAAATATATAATACATTATATAACATATAATATACATACAATTATATAAACATATATATAATTTTATATATAAGGAAGTCTATAGGCAAATACATATGCATACATATAGACAAGTATATATGTATATTTAAAGAAATGCAATTTGTACAAGTGCTGCACATTGAACACGTATTATTATTTATAACTGCCTTGGTAGTTTGTCTCTGTGGTCATCTTTAATTAACACAGATACCATTCAGCACTACTGATTTATGCCTCAGGAATGCACTGCCTAACCACTACCCTTTGCAGAGAATCGCTGGAAAAGCCCACATGGTATCTGGGAGCTGCTCCAGACACTTGCATTATCATTATTTCAGCAGCCTGCTGAGAATTCTGCAGGTTGGATCCACTTGGAACAGGGATTATTACTGAAATCCATCATGAAATGTGTCAGGAAAGGTACAATAACAAAAACAAGGCAGGACATTTTTACCCAGTCAGGAATTCCTAAACCACAGTGATTGAGAGTTCCAATCTCTTCTCATTTACATTTTTACCATGTGTTCAGGAGAAGATTTAAAACAGCAACATCCTTTGTTTCACTTCTGGCTGCACTCAAGGTGCATGGATTCAAAGATCAAATATTTAAGTCTTAGAGTTTTGTAGGACTCACTGTGGGATCTTTGCCAGCCATTTTGCACTCTTCAACTTTGATTGTAGATGCTGGCCAGAAAACCTGCTCAGAAAGGAAAAAAAAATGGTTGAATAATATCACTTGTATGTATGAAAGCTCAATATTATTTATTTACTTAAAGCTAATATCTATATTTAAGGTATATTTATATTGATATTTCAAATTCTATTTTTTATTTTATGAATTCAGGCCAATAAAGATTTTAATACTTCATTCAAACAATTATGCTTTATTTCTTCCATTAACTTTTCCATTGACAGATCTCAATAATGTGTTCATTTACTATTGAGGTAATATTAAAAGAGTATTTATTAATGTATACAATATAATGTTAATTTTCCTCCTTTGACTTGTAGACTTTAAATGAATACTTATATAACAATGAATTCACATATATTGCTTTCAATTTAACATTAATTTTGGTTAACATTGCAGACTAGTAGATTTATTTTAAATTAGTTCAGCGGTTCTTCAACAGCTATGTGATTTGGAAAATCTAAGTCTTCCACTGTAAAATATTGTGACAGCATTCTAAATTATTATAGTGTTGAGTCAGGTCTATGGGGCTGCTTTTTTTCCCCAAATGTCAGCCTGCTTCCCACTGGTAAAAAATTATTTCAGAAATTTTCCTGCTATAATAAATATTATTATTACTCTCTACTTATTTACTCCAGTGAAGGTCTACTAGTTTCCTGGTTGTAAAATGAAAAGTCACTATACATCTGTTCAAACAACAATACATTTAATAACAAACAAACAGTACATTTAATCTTTTCAAGAATTTATAGGAATAAATATGGAAAACAATGTAGAAAATGCTTTTATTTGATATTTTTCATGGTATCTTGCATGAATTTCTTTTTTCTTTTAATTTTATTATTATTATTTTTATTTTGGGGCCTTATCCAGCTGTCTTCAGGGCTTACTAATGGCTCTTTGAGCAGGTATCAATCAATTCTGACAGGGTGTGGGGGACCATATATGATGTAAGGGATCAAATCCAGGCTGTCTGCATAAAAGATAAGTGCCCTACATGCTGTACTTTCTCTCCAGCCCTCTTTTTTCCATTTTTATATGTGTATACATAGGAAATATTCTCTTTCAAAATTCAGATTTTGTTTGTCAAAAATATAAAACTAGACAGGAAAATGAAATTGATTATATTTCAACCCAACTATTTAGTGAAATATGGTCAGTACTTAATATTGTTCTAATAAAATACATGATATTGCATTATGTTTCAAATTTTGTAAGACAAAGCCACCAAGGAGATCAAAACTGTCTCATAAAACTTACACTCAGAGGTTCTTGACTTATATTGTTAATATTCAAGGAAAGAATGTGATCTTTACTGCCCACATATATCCGGTCCTGATCTTCATCCATTAATAATATCCTGTAGTCTAAAGGATGGTGGGATAGGCTGAAGTATTCAGAGGTCTTGGTTTCTCGGAGCTCTGAAATAATTAACAACACAAGAAAAAAAAAGAGTAACTCAGTTATGTTATTCTATTATTTTAACAAAAAATCTTTTTTAAAAAAAATTTTTATTAGTGAAATACCATGAGGTACAGTTTTAGACTCACAAATTTTGGGGTTTCAGTTATACAATGATCAAGTACCCATCCCTCCACCAGTGCCCATTTTCCACCACCACGGGTCCAAGTATCCCTCCCACCCCCCATTCTCCCCAGCCCACCCTGACTCTGTGGCAGGGCATTCCCTTTTGTTCTCTTTCTCCTTTTGGGTGTTGTTGTTTGCAAAAGAGGCATTGAGTGGCAATCATGTTTGGTCTATAGTCTACTTTCAGCATGCTTCTCCCATCCTGGGAGGATCCTCCCAACACCCTTTATCATTAACAAAAAAGTCTTACATGAACAATGACCCCCAAATTCAAGATACATTTGTTGTTACAACATTAAATTATTTTAAAAAGTGACTTGTTAGTGGCCGCTTCAATCCACTGTACTCACAATGAATTAAGACATAATGTAATAAAAAAAAGTTAAGGTTTGTGATAATATTTCTAGGCTGAAAAATTACATTTTGAAATAATTCAATTCAGTTTAAAACTTGTTCCAATAAATCAACCAAAATATATGTATAACAAATGAGCAGACTGAACAAATGCCTAACACAATGAAAGTATGACTGTCTCCCTTCCATTTCTTAATATTTTATGGTTGTTGAGAGCTGAAGAGATAGTAGAGAGAGTAGGACAGTTGCCTTGCACATGGCTGACCTGGGTTTGATCTCAAGCAACACTAATAGTCTCCTCAGCCTTCTCAGGAATGATTCCCTGAGCACAGAGCCAGGAGTAAGCCCTGAGCACAGCTGAATGTGACGTGACCCAAAAAACATAACCATAATATTTTATTGCTAGGCTCTATCATTTTTGGATTATTTTCTGATATATATCATTTATATATGATATATATATACACATATATATATATATATATTTATATATATGCACTGTAGCACTGTCCTCCTGTTGTTCATAGATTTGTTCGTGTGGGCCCAGTAACATCTCCATTGTGAGACTTGTTGTTACTGTTTTTGGCATATCGAATATGTTACAGGTAGCTTGCCAGGCTTTGCCATGCAGTCGAGATACTCTCGGTAGCTTGCCAGACTCTCTGAGAGGAGTGGAGGAATCGAAACTGGATCGGCTGGGTCGGCAGCATGCAAGGCAAACGCCCTACCTGCTGTGCTATTGCTACAGCCCATATATATATATATATATATATATATATATATATATATATATATGCCCTACCCACTGTACTATCGCTCCATCACACACACACACACACACACACACACACACACACTTCTTCTGCAATGTAATTCTAATTAGTTGGGTGTATTTTTATTTCCTGTGAAATACTTGAAAAAAATGTTTTATTCAGAAGATAATGTTTATGGTACTATGGTTATTTAGGAAGGGAAAAACATAAATTTTCAGCTGTTCTGAATTCTTTTTTTTTTTTTTTTTTTTTTGGTGGGGCATACTGGGCAGCATACCCAGTGGTGCTCAGGGCTGACACCTGGCTCTGCAATCAGGGATCACTTCTGGCGGGCTCAAAGAATCACATGTGGTGCTAGGGATTGAACCCAGGTCTGTCACTGTCACTGTCACTGTCCTTCCGTTGTTCATCAATTTGCTCAAGCGGGCCAAGTAACGTCTCCATTGAGACTTGTTACTATTTTTGGCATATCGAATATGTCACGCATAGCTTGCCAGGCTTTGCCATGAGGGCGAGATACTCTTGGTAGCTTTCTGGGGGCTCTTTGAGAGGGGCAGAGGAACCAAACCTGGGTCAGCCGCGTGCAAGGCAAATGCCCTACCCGCTGTGCTAGCCTTTAGCAAAGCAAGTACCCTACCTATTGTACCTCAGGACCCAAAACTTTTATTTTTAATGGCTCATAAATTCTATTTTGTTAAATTATAATCTTAACAGAATGACAAACTCTAGAAAGAAATCTTCTTCCTAGGAATTAGTTTAAATAACTTGAAACTCCATCATGGTCATTTGACTTAATTACACCACAGCCAAGTATGAGTCCTGGGTGTCATGTGCTGGCATTCACAAATTAATGATGAACTATTTGTAATATTTCTGATCACAGCATCACAATTGAATTTCTAGAAAATCGAATAGGACTACAGTTTGGCTCCAAGCAAAACTAAGAATTATTACAGGCTGCCATATACTAAGAATACTTGTATGAGGAAAGGGAAGTCACAAATCCAACTTGTTTGCAGGCTTATTTGTTTTTGCTCACCAATTCATAAAGTCGTTCAAAATACCTTCAACATAATTTTGTGCCCATCTATCCAATGATTTAAATTTCATAAAAGTTGCACATTATTTTGAAGCCAATCTGTGATGCTAAACTTCCTGCAATTATTTTTTTTGATAGCAATCAGCATCAGTTTATTATAATAATCTTTTAACATAGTGGAAGATGAAGAATGTACCTCAAGATAGAAGCAGTCATAAGCAACAAACCTATAGTCAACATTCTGTTCAACAGAGAAAAACTGAAAGCCTTCCCTCTGAGATAAGCTATTTAGTCTTTATCTGTCTTTATATTCTCAATAATAAAATGATTAGCAATAGTAATTATACAGAGCACACCCATGTAAATTAACTGAATATTTGTAAATATTTTAAAATATTTGGTCCCATCAACGGCCAAGACGCAGAGACTATAAAACCCAGCTCCTGGAGGAGAACAGCGCAGAGTCTCCTGCCCCCGTGCCTGGCTGTCCTCACCAGGGCCCCTTGGAGGGAGGAGGGTTGAGTTTCTCTCCCACCCGCCCCCGCCCCAAGCAGAGCCCCAGCAGCTGAAGACCTCCGGAGCCAGCCACAGCCATGCTGGGGCCACTCACCACACATCCGGACGGAACTCATGCATGAGAGAACTGGCAGAGGAACCCAGACATGCGGGTCCCGGGGCTGAGGTCTCCAAGCCTACTCGGATTGGGACTGGGCCTTCTCCACCCAGTCTCCCCATCTTCCAGTAGGTAGGCGTCACACCCACCAGCTGCCGACAGCGCCAGATTGGTCCCATCAACAGCCAAGACACAGAGACTACAAAATCCAGCTCCCGGAAGCATCTTATTATCTTTCCTTTGGAGAACCTGGCAGGCTACAAAAAATATCCTGCTCGAATGGCAGAGTCTGGCAAACTTCCCATGTTGTACTCAATATGCCAAATACCAGTAACAATGATGGGTCTCATCCTCCTAATCCTGAAAGAGCATTGAAATGGCTCTTTTAAAATCTCAGGGCCTGCTCGAGACAATCGACGAAAAACAGGATGATTGTGATTGTGATTTTAAAATAGAGAAAACAAATATGTTCTAATAGGTTTTTTTTTTTACTTTTTTAAATTCATTTTTTTTCTTGAATCACTGTGGGAAAAGTTACAAAGCTTTCAGGTTTAAGTCTCAGTCATGCAAATATCAAACACATTTCCCTTTACCAATACTTATTTTTCACCACGAAGAACCCCAATAAACCCCCTCTCCCAGCCCCCCCCCCCATTGCCTGTGAGGCAGATGAATTCTAGTTAACACTCTATCTACTTTCACTAGATTCACTGCTTAGACAAAAGATGCACCGTTATTATTTAGTGTTTACACCCCCAAATCAGACATGCAGAAAAGGTATTGTGAAATAATTTGTTTTCTACAGCTGGTCACAAGAATCAAAAAGATTTTGGATTTCTGGTATTTTACTTATTAACCAAGTATTTCTGCTGAGAGTCAGATAGTTATGAGATTGGTTTCTGTGCTCTGGAGCCATGGCAGTGCCGGAGAGCCACTCGTGGGGGGCAACTTGTGACCTCGGTAGGGTGTGAAGGATGAGCCAGGAACAACCCCCTTCCCATGAGGTTTCAGTCGCCCCCATCACGACCAGCTCATACCTGGCTTTCCACAAAGCTCCCAAGCAGCTGGCATCTTTCTTTCCAGAGGGAAAAAGGCAGAAGGGACCAACACCCTTTCCCCTCCGGGCAGGCACGGTGGCGTGGATTAAGGCATAGTCCATTCACTTTTCTACTGCAAGCTTCTGGGCTCTGCATTAAGTCCTTGTGCTTCTGGAGCCATGGCCGTGCTGGAGAGCCGCTCGTGGGGAGCAACTCGTGACCTCGGTAGGGCATAAAGGACGAGCCGGAAACGCCCCCCTTCCCATGAGGTTTCAGTCGCCCCCGATGAACAACCGGAGGACAGTGCTACAGTGCTACATTAAGATTGAATCACTACTTATAAGAAAGACATAGCACTGTATAGCACTGTCTTCCCACTGTTTATAGATTTGCTCGAGTGGGCCCAGTAATGTCTCCGTTGTGAGAACTGTGTTTGGCATATCGAAAACATCATGGGTAGCTTGCCAGGCTTTGCCGTGTGGGCGAGATACTCTCGGTAGCCTGCTGGGCTCTCTGAGAGGGGCAGAGGAGTCAAACCCGGGTCGGCCAGGCCTACTGCATGCAAGGCAAACATCCTACCCACTGTGCTATGGCTACAGCCCAAGAAAGACATAAAAATACATCGACATTTAAATAAAATATTATTTTCATACTTTATGCCTTTTTTAACTTAAGGAACTGAAATTCTAAATTTATTAACACATGATATTAAAACATAGAATCTGATACATGCTGTAGCACTGTAGCACTGTCCTTCTCCCTTTGTTCATCAATTTGTTTGAGCAGGCCCAGTAACGCCTCCATTGTGAGACTTGTTACTGTGTTTGGCATATCAAAAATGTCACGGGGAGCTTTCCAGGCTTTGCCGTGCGGGCGAGATACTCTCGGTAGCTTGCCAGGCACCTCAAGAGCCTGAAAGTAGTTGAGAGGTCGCAAGGTCAACCCAAAAAGCAAAAAAGAAAAAAAAAAGTGAGGATTAGAGGATAGGCATTTGCCTTTTATGAAGCCAATCCAGGTT